TTCCTGCTTTACATTTCTGTAAATTCCTGTGTTCCAAATGCAAACAGACCAATGTATTCAAAAATATTTTGTTTGATTATTTTAACAAACAAAGTAGTTGCTATTTCTTTTCAAGGAATTTTTAAACTAAGCCAATGTGAGAAATGTAAAAAGCAAGCTATTTCATGAAAGCCATAAAACACTTACTAGCAGATGTAGGCCCTGCTCATATTCCTACCAGCATCCAAAAGGATTACTGTTGGTTTCACTCAAGGCAAAACATTTTGTTCTCAACAGGATTTACACTATCATTCATACAAGGTCCTGTCAGCACTGGCTAAGGAAACTGTATTAGCACCTTTCTGGCAGGATCCATCAACTTTAAATGTAGCCAATTCTAAACAATTCAAACTAGCTCCAGTAATACTACCTTTCCCTATAAAGAAAGGACATAAAAATTAGTAGAACACAGTCATTTATTTACATTTTAATGTGTTCTTTCATCTCCGTGTGAAAGCCAAGAAGGGTAATAGATAACTTACACATCATGGAAAACAGTGACACTGCCTGCACAGGGTTCTGACAAATCCATAGAGAAACTTAAGTATATTTATAAGATTCTAGAAAAATATTTTAACTGAAATACTACTAAATAGGAAAAAGTAGACAAGAGATAAGCCAATGATATCCCTTCAAACAGTATTTTCTAGAAAAGTATTAACACAGGACCAAACTCCCCTTCATAAGACGTACAAAAGCATGCATACGTGCACGCCAAATGTAAGAATAACTCCAGTGAAAGGATACTCAGCTAAGATCCCTTATCTATTTGTAAAGGGTGAAGAAATAAGTTTTGCCCGCCATCATCACAGTAGAACAGGCAGACGGTTCAGGATTCCCCACCCATTCCTCCATCCCCCACCATTACTTGCAGGTCTCTAGAGAGCTGCCTTTCCAACAGAAGCATCCTTTCCATGCCAGCTTAAGGCTTCTCTGTTCTATGTTTTAGCAACTCGACTATAGAAGCCTTGGCTGCCTCATGTGAGCAGAAAGCTCCATAAAAGACAGTGCAGGTTCATTCAAAAGAGTAACCTAACAAAAGTCAATGAAGGACTAGTCTGATGTAAGGACAAGACATATGCACGTACAGTATACCAATTCTGCCCCACAGAGTCTACCTTTTTAAATAGTCTTTTGTTTAACAACCATGATTTGGATTTTCTGATTATTGCTGAAATTCATGATGGGCACCAAGTATACCTCTGGCAAAGCAACAGGCATTTGGAGAAGACAGAATCAAGGAAACACTTTTATATAAAAGAAACACAAATCTATGTAAAAGGAGACCACCCTGGATCACAAGTCAGAAAACCAATAACAGAACTGAAATGAATGCCAAAGAAATCCTTGGCCACCTCTCAAAATGCCACCTTTGCTCCTTCTTTACAGCCCTCCTTCACTCCTTGAAATGACTCTTTTCATTTACATGTGGAGTTATATACAAGCCATTGGTCTACCCGTTATTTAGCTCAAACTGTGTTGGTTTCTTTCCCAGGCCTAAGGAAAAGCACTTAATGCCCAAAAGGTTTTTCCCAACTACTACACACTGGTCCTATGAAAGATAGCACACACAAAAAAATCCTTGCCTTTCACACTTGTAATAATGCTTCTTGAGACATTCAGGAAACTTTATCCTGTTCTGTCAAGCAAGTTAAAACGGCCTCAAATGATTAATTTTTAATTAAAGCAAGTAATATAATTGTCTTTAACCAGACTTCAAACTCCAGCCACTCCAGAAGTGGTCTCACTTCATATGTTGAATAGCTAAAGAAAAGAATATACAGATACAGCCCAACAGATAACTTAAAGTGCTCTATAAAGGCACTAGTTTGGTTTTCTTTTTTTCAGTAAGTATTTATTTCTGGATTTTTCTTAATTGAGTTTTTACATTAGAGATGGGAATCTCCATGGCTGGAGTCTACAAAGTGAGGAAGAAATAGGTTTTGGATTATATATCCCAGATACCCAGAAAGTAAAACATGATTATGTTAGAGGAGAAATTACATTTATTAAAATTGTTAAATAAATGTTAACATAATTGTTCAAAGATTCAACAAATACTCCTCTTCAATTAAGGTCCCCAGCTATGCGAGTTACTGAGGAGGTCTCCCAACATAAAAGGGAAAAATACACATGCTGGATACCTCTAAAGAAAGATGTTACATGAGGAGAATTTTAAGCTTTCTTCTCACAAAAGAAGGAAGCATAACGTGGCACAAATTCAAATTTCTGGCATTCATACATCACCTTTAAGGGCCCTGCCAACCTTTTATCTTGACCATTTTCCACACAGTAACACGGCTCTTTAGGTGGGGAGATGCACAACTTTCAGAAGAGGATACCCAAACATTTATTTTTAAGATCTGAAAAGGATTTGCTGAGGAAAGTGGTAAATTTTCCCAGGCAGCCTATAGGAAGAATTTGAGTCTCAAGGTTTTCAAATGTTCAGCATAAAGAAAATCCCTATCCACCATATTTCCTGCATTCTGTACAGATTGTAAATTAATCCTTTATTTTTAATGACACTATAATATTTTCCTTTACACTCCCCATGCATAGTCAAAAAGGAAAGGATGTTACGAAAGATGCCTACATATTTTTTCAGCATTAGTCCTGTTAACTTAAAATCATACATTCAAGTTTCCCCTCCAGAGTGCATTGCTTCATGCCTATCAATACTGAACTTACCCTGCCACTGAGTTAGCCTTTCCTAAATGAGATGCAGAAGCATGTTAATTGAGGATCTCAAATCTGCACAGGGTTAAACTGTTGCACCTATACGCGAATTACAGTTTTACTTCAGAGGATAAAAGGGTTCATTCATGTACATAAGTGGGCAGAATTTCACCTTAAAGTGGTTTCCCATGTATCAGTATTTTTCCTTAATATTCACGGTTAAAACTTACAATCAAACTTTCAAAAATTACTTTAGCCCAGTCTCAAAAACATTAGCAACCATCAATTGTGAACAAAACATTTAAAGCCCAGGTTGGATGCATATTTTTAATAAATTCATAATGTAAAAGCAAATCCCTAGTCATACATATCACAAGATGACTAAAAATGCTGGCTTTGCTATTGTTTCTTTACAAGACATACCCAAGTTAGAAATAGCAAGACTGTTCTTAACGGGTGAAAACCGAGGTCAACTGGCAAAATGGACTGAGTAGGCTTATATGCAGTACCTGCCCATTGCCTGCCTAGCTCAAATCAGTGCTCACTCCTTCAATAATCCTTCATGCCCATCAGCACAAAGAAATATCAACCTGCTGAAGTTTTACTGACTAATTAAATAAAACACTACACTTCAACTTTCATGTTTAAGGGACAAGTTTAGATAATGTGATATTCTAGGGTCATACATACATACTCATACCAAAGCTTTTGACCTTCCAAGGTCCATTCTTCAAAGAAATCCTCTTAAATTACTACACAGAAACTGTATATATCCTTCTGTAATATCAATGATGCAGTCAAAGGTCATGCTGATGCAGGCAAATGTTGACTACTTACAATTCAGTTCACTAGTTCCCTAAAGATCTTTAAAAAAAAGAGAAGTGAAATGAACGCGGACTATCCACAATGGAGAAACTGATAAAAATGTGACCGATTCACAGAGTGACTGGTTTGAACATTGAAAAAAAAAACAAAAAAAAAACAAAAAAAACAAAAAAACCCAAAAAACTTAAAACTACTCATGTGAAAAGTTGTGTGCAAACTATCCTAATCTTATTGTTTTCACAAGAAAAATTATTCTTTGTGCGTGTGACTAAGATACATGGCTGACTAAAGAACCATGCTGAAAAGACTGGGTATTCTAAACTGGCTTTTGAATAGAAGGACAGATATCGCGGTGCCACGAGTCTTCCAAAACTGCCGAAAGAGCATACACAAGGGAGGAATATGCATTAGTACTTAATAAAAGCTGAAAAACCCTTCAGAGAAGAGCTCCTCCATTCTCAGCTGATACAACAACCAAAAGCCAACAGAGGCCAGAGCCATATCAACTGCTTTTCTGAATTCATAGAAAACTCTTCTTTCTATTCCTCTAAACCTTAGCTTCAAAAAAAAAAAAAAAAGAAAAGAAAAGAAAAGAAAAAGGATTCAACTGCTTGAAATAAAGAAAACGATGCTTCCAAATCATTAGGCATTTCGATTGCTATAAAGTAAGTCTTTCATGCACTGTATTCACACACCTTGCAGCTTCCTCACCAGGTTTCTGTTTTATCGCCCTGTGATTGCAGGTAACAATGAAAAAATTTCACTTGGGTTTCAAACACCCAGGAGAAAAGGTGCGGTGGACTAGCAGATATCCCTAAAAATGCACCCGCCCTTGTAATGCCTCTCAAATCACAGAGGCTGTTAAAATTAAAAATGGCTGTGCCCAAAGATCCCACCAGCAAGCACGCACAGCTCTGCTGGCAATAGGAACACATCTAAGAAAAAAGAAAAAGAAAAAGCCTATGTCACACATCACCAAGGGTGAGGCTTTCAGAATAAAAAGGCTGTATTTCCTCTCCCCCCATGACACGAAAAAGCCATTCAGCCAACAACAGACAAGGTGAAATAAAGCCCAGCTGAGGGGTGGGTCCAGGTAGACAATGAAACCCGTTTTCTCCTCCAAGGGGGTCTGGTCTGCAGCTGAGCATCTGAGGGCGTAGGGGCATGTGGTGCGGGCAGGGGGATGCTGTAGCAGGGCCCCCTGCCGCATTGAAGCCCTGGGGGACCCCACGCCCTTCCCCGTCCCAAAATGGCTAGCTGCCCGTGCCCAGGGGCTACTTACCAGCCGCAGTGCCGAGCAGCGCCGTGGCACCGGAGAGCCAGAGCAGCAGCAAGAGGCGCCGCAGTGAGGCCGGCATCCCGGGGGCAGAGGCAGGAGGCAGCGCAGGAGGAGGAAAACGCGGATCGATGCACCCGGCGGAGGGTCCCCTCCCCGTCTCCGGGCAGCGCCTCACGCGCCCGGCTGGCAGGGCAAATGGCAGCCGCCAGGAGCCGCCTG